ACAAGGGAGGGATTTTTAATTGAGATCTATGGCACAACTTAGACTCAAACACTCAAAGAACGAAATTTTCGCAATTAGGATTTTAAATAAATTAGCTTTTAACGTCTCGCGAAAAGTGGGGCGTTACAAAAATTAAACAAAATATAAGGGACCCACCCGTCAGTCAAATAAAAAATAGTGGGACCCACATATCAGTGGGTCTCACCTTTTCCACCCCATCTCTTCGCCGCGGATGATAGAAAGAGAGAGAGGCAAGGAGGCTGACCACGTGGTGCTCCTCTCTCCCGCCGCTGTGCGCCCCTCCTCTCGCTTTGGCCGCGCCCCGACTCCTCACCCGCGCGCCGGAAGGAGGGAAAAGAAAATGCGGCGGCGAGTCGTTGCCCGAGCTCGTCAATGGTGGACAATGGAGGTGGATTTGGCGAAAACCCGTCGCCGACGTCAGCGCCTAATTCCTCCACCCACTGCCCGGACGACGACGAGGTGAGCCTAGGGATGAAGTCCCGCCGGATCTACAGCGGTCATTGCGCCCACCAGGAGGAGGCGAGATGGCCTCGGCGGTGGCCGGCAGCAGCGACCCGAAGCAGGTGTGGCAGTGGGTGCGGAGACGCGCAGTAGAGGTGGAGGAGCAATAGGTGGTGCACGGGGTTGCCGCTCCGCTCCTCGGCTCCACTCGGTGCCTAGCGCCCGCCGTCGCTTCGCCCACCGCTGCTCTGCTTCCACCCGCCGCCCCTCTGCTTCGCCTGGCGCCCAGCGCTCGCCGTCGCTCCAACCACCGCCCTCCGCCGCTCTGCTTCCACCCGCCGCCCCTTTGCTCTGCCCACCGCCCGCTGTCGCTCCGCCCACCGCTCTGCGCTGCTCGCCGCTGCTTACCCTTTTGCAGTGTAGGGGAGAGAAAGAGAGGAGGGGTGGAGGGAAGAGGGAGGATGACATGTGGGACCACATGGGACCAAATTTATTTATTTATTTTTTTTACAAACTTAGTCAAACTTAAAGCATTTTGATTTTGACCAAAGTCAAAATGTCATATAACCTGAAACGGAGGTAGTATCAGTTTGTATCAATTCATGATCGGCCTCTTTAATTAATTATCTATGTGCCTTTGCTTCAGTCCTTGGGGAGAATGTGACTTGCTTTGTCGGTTAATTTTGAAACCTAAGAACATAACAACAGTCAACAAAAGATTCTTCATTTCTTTGTTATGTCCTCGGCTTTCATTTCATACATAACAGTCAGCATATGGTAACCTCTGATATTACTTGATATGCTCAGAACTCTGATTAGCTAATTGACCTTTCCGTCAGTTGATGATTACTATGATTGAAAGAAACGTTGACGACTTGACTACAATCATATGAGACATTGTTGCTTTGCGCATTAGCGATCATACATCTCTCTTTGGATCGTTGATTCTGCTGGTGTAGATTAACCTTATTCTCTTCTCAGTTAATCACAACATTGCACACTTACTCGTCTCAATTAATTGTAATCTTCTCCTATTTAATTTTATCTATTTTTTAATACCCATGTTGAATCCAAAACATTATATATATTTAGACGAAGGTAATACAATGCAACCATTTCGAGAAATAGTGACATATCAAATTAATGGCTTATGTGTAAAATGAATTTTATTAAACGATCAAATTGCATTGACATCTGTCTCAGTCTCTAAGGCTGCGCTCGGAGCTGCAGGTTGGGTAATTTTTTTTATGGGATGCAGGTTGGGTACTTCACCTCCGGCATACAAAACGAAGCGATCCATTACCACATGATTAATTATTAGCTAAAATAAAATTGAAAAAGGATTAATATGATTTTTAAAAGCAAATTTTATATAGAAACTTTTAAAAAGAATGTGTCGTTTAGCAATTTCTGAAGCGCGTGTACATAAAATGAGAAAGTAAAAGTTAGGAGGAGGTGGTAAAAACGCACCCTTAGTATTGCACATCTCTCTCCTAGCCGGTTTATCTCATTTCGATTTGGACTCTCGAAGCCTCATAAAGATTGACAACACCTCTATTTTTTAATCTATATTTATGCAACAACGTATTTTGTTTCACTGTTAGTATCCGATGATTTAGGGTCTGCTTGCTAGCAGCTGCATTTTTTTAAATCATAATTAAGCTGTAGTTGTAAAATTTAGAAAATAAGCTAGAACTCATAAGATGAGAAACTCAGTTTTTTCATATTATCAGAAACTGAATACCAATTAACTGCATTTTAGAAATTTAATCTCCTCAAACAGTGAAACAAGCCCTCAGTTTTCAGTACTAGTTAAGATCTGTAATTGAAAAAAAGAAGAGACCGAAGACTCCAAAAGTATGCATGTTGTGTGAAGTGTGGCCGTTGCAATGTGAAGACTAGAACCTGTATCTGAAATGAAGAACACACGTGCACCAACTCAGTAGTTAGATTAAGAACTTGTCAAAAGTGGGCCTTACTGGTTACAGCAGACGATCTAAACCCACCCTGAGTTAGTCTATTGCTCGATTGGATCCTGCATCTACAAGAGAGATATAGCAAGCATCTTCAAGAGAGATGTAGTAGTATAGTCAGCGGTTAGCTATACGATCAGTCATTTATTTTAACCAACGTATCAAAGTATCTAGTATCTAATACTATCAATTGCGTTATGACTTGTGCGTCACTGGAATGCCCCAGTGATGATGTCATTTTTATAGCAGTGTATGCCACTATCCAGGCACGAGGCATCCACAAGCTACAAGCCTACAACACACCCAAGATTGACAGAGTGCGGGGCTGGAAAATTCATACATCTTAGTTTGGGCTACTAACGGAACCTTCTTGGCCCATATGTCTCCCTGACCGCAGTATAGATAGAGCTTAAAAACCGTATAATTTGACTCCCACGATAGTATTGATAGTGGTATTTGCTGACGTGGCATCTAGTTAACAAAGAAAATAAAAAATAAAATAGGACCCACCTGTCACACTCCCCTTGCTCTCTCTCCTTGTTTCTCTAACCTCTCTCCCCCCATGTTTTTTTGGCGATAGCAAGGGGTGCACAGTGTGGAGGGTGGCCGCGGGACGACGACACAAGGCCTTCCGCATCAAGCGGTGCCCCGACAAGGAGCAGGACGTTTTCGACAGTGGAGACGGCTGGCGCGGTGGAAGGCACCGAGGGAGATGGGGAGCACGCTACAAGCTGCCACTCCTCGTTCCTGCTCCGCATTGTTGATGGAAGGCAACGGTGGAAGGCCTCGCCACTTGAGATCCTCCCCCTCACGGCCGATACTACCTTCCTCCCTGTGCCGCCCCCGTCGGCCTGCACGCTTGACTCAAGGCACCTAGCGAGACAGAGACAGGGTACGAAGTGGCATCCCACCTTCCTCCACGCGTCGCATCTGCCGGCCTCCGCCCCTGCCGCGTAGCCTCTGTGCGTCGTTGATAGCCATAGCTTCCACTATGTGCTCATCGGCAAGTGTGGGAGTAGCCGGGAGTTACTCCTGGTCTGGTCAACGCCGCCCGACGAGACGCCACCATTGCCTTGATTCTTTCCCTCTGGTGAGGCGGCGACAAATGGAGATGGCACCAGATCCCGCTGTCAAGGCGTTCCACACGTGGGCCCGTCGCCTCGGCCTTGCTAGCTCCCTGGCTCGACCGTCGTATCCTCCTCATCAGCTACCATGGAGGAGGGGGGAGATACAAGGGGCTGACTGCAGAGAGAACAGATAGAGAAAGGAAGAGGAGGCAGGAGGAAGAGAGAAAAGAAAGAGATGGAAAACGATGAGACACTGACATGCGGGGTTATTCCGACGAAAACCGGTCGAATTTCGCGAAATTTCGAGGTTTCGACAAGGCTCGAAAGTAGAATCCGTATGAGATTTCGATGAGTTTCATCTAAATTCAAATTTGAATTGATAAAATAAGGAAAAAAAATCAAATAAAATCTTATAAATAGTATGATATTCATAAAACCTATTGGGATATAAATTTTTTTGAAAATTTATGTATTCCGTGTATTTACTGAAATTTACAGTAGGAAAGAATAGAATAACAAATTAAAAAAAGGAAAACAATTTCAGTTTACCTCTTTTTCTAGTTACCGATTGAAATTTCGATGATTTTGCTTGGAATTTCGCCAAAGCCGACCGGTTTTCGCAAGCTTATCGGTAAACGTAGGGAATTTGTATTTAAATTTTTGGTTTATGAAATTTGTTCGGAACATACCGGCTTTCCACCGGATTTCACGAAAACCGTCATTCCGCTAGAGACAGAAACGGAAGGCCATCTCGGAATCGTAACCCCTAGGCCTATATGCTGACTTAGCTAGTTGGACCAAATCAACATGAGCGAAAATCGCCCATAAAACCACTGGGGCTATTTTGCATAAGATTCAATAGTTGGAGAGCCAAGATATCTGATATTACGATTGAGATACGAATAAGATTGGACCAATATTTGAGGGAACTAAGGCTGTGTTTAGTTCCTAAAATTGTGGAGAAGTTTAGAGAAAGTTGGTAGTTTGGAAAAAAATTGGAAGTTTATGTGAGTAGGAAGGTTTTGGATGTGATGGAAAGTTGGGAGTTTGGGGGAAGTTTGGTGTGAAATAAATAGGGCCTAAAGTGGACTTACTTTGCCTTACTAAAGCTATGCTCCAAACGGGCTGTCCTTCGTCATGAAACAACAGGGTCTAAAACGAAATTAAGCATAGCAAACCTTCGCGGAGTGAAACCCACAATTTTAATTGGGCTGGACCGTGCGAACTCGCACCAGTGAAAACGAAGGTGTGTTGGCGTATGGAAACCACACGAGACAGCCCACAAGTACGGATAACCTGGCTGGCGCCGCCGGTGCTGATTAGATGCGACGGAGAGATTGGAGCGATTGCAACCTACCGCAAGTCCGAACGTGTTGGAAGAGAGTAGTGAAAGGAGACGCAAAGCCGGCGGCCGGTGGAGGAAGGACGGACGGAAATCACGTGGAATTCAAGGAGTGTAATAATAGACGCGATTGCCCTCTCCGCCCATATCGATATATCTTTATTTCGAGCTACTTTTGACTTTCCATCTGATTTGCCGAATCGCTCGGGGTCACGAGCACCCCGACCGCCGGCCCAAAATCCTCATTGCTTGTAGTAGTAGTAGGTATCTATCAATATATACAAGTCATCTACGAGAATTAAGCCTCCGCACTGCCTGCGCCGGCCGGTGATCTGATCGATATCGGCAGTCAGCCATACATCGATCGAGCGGCAAAGCGCCTATAGCTGCTGCAAGACATGTCGGACGGCACGGCCAACTGCATCGACATCCTCATCGCCATCATCCTCCCTCCTCTCGGCGTCTTCCTCAAGTTCGGATGCAAGGTACATAAAAGCCCTCTTCCTTGATTTAATTTGCAGATTAAACTGAATTATTACGAGATTGGCTTATGTGTGTATATATGCACATGTGGGTGATCGATCAATGATCTGATATTCTGATCTGATCTGACGGGGGGTCTCTGGCTCGATATACAGGTGGAGTTCTGGCTCTGTCTTCTGCTCACCTTCTTCGGCTATCTCCCGGGGATCATCTACGCGGTCTATGCTATCACCAAGTAGTAGTTACATCTCATCTTTACTATACATCTAAGGTGATTGAAGCTAGCTAGTAGTACTAGTGAAACCTGTCTTGCGTCTATGTATCGATTCATGTGGTCTACGTACGTACTGGATCTCAACTACTTGATCTGTATCGGTTCATGATCAGGCCTCTGGGCTACTTCACGTCATAAGGGAGAAGAATTCTTGTGCAATCAGTGTTGAGTGCTTTGCCGACCTTTCATCTAACTGCCCTTCAAGCTCCCAAATGGGTAATCAGTAGAATAGATCGTTACCGCAGATCCTTCTTATGGAAGGGAGAAGACCCTGACAAAACAAATCCGGGAAGTAGCTTGGTAAATTGGGTACAGTCTGTAGACCAAAAATTTTAGGAGGCCTTGGAATTCCAGACCTTGAGAAATTTTTTCGCGCTCTAAGACTACGGTGGCTCTGGTTCAAATGGAAAGAGGACAACAAGCCTTGGGTTGGAATGGATTTACCTTGCGATGACTGCGACAAAAGACTCTTTCAGGCTGCCACTACGATAAATGTCGGCAATGGAGAAAAAATAAATTTTTGGCATGATAAGTGGCTGCAAAATACATGTCCAAAAGACATTGCACCCTTGTGTTTCAACCTAGCTAAGCGCAAACAGAGATCGGTTAAAACGGAATTGACAAACAATTCTTGGCTTCTTTCCTTTCGGCAAATAACTACAATTGAAGAAATCAGCGATCTTGTCCAGCTTGGGGGAATGCTGCAAAATGTTCAGCTTCTACCGCAAACCAATGACGACATCACTTGGAACCTGAACGAATCGGGATCCTACTCTGCAAACAGTGCTTATTTATTTCAGTTCCAAGGGTCCTTCTCTTCGATTGACTTTCATTCCATTTGGAGGTGCCCAGCTGAACCAAAGATGCGCTTCTTTGGATGGCTAATCCTTCACCAAAAAACTCTCACGGCCCAAAATCTTTTGCGCCGGCACTGGCCTTGCAATTGGATTTGTAGCCTGTGTGGAGAGGCGTTTGAAGACACTAACCATCTCTTCAATGTCTGCCCCTTCTTCAGAAAAGTTTGGCTTATGGTGTGCCAATGGCAAAACATACCGGGGGCACAACCTGCAGATGACACCGCAACTTGGTGGGCTGATCTCAATCAACTACACCCCAAACCTTTCAAATTCAGGGTTAAAGGATCTCTTCTCGCCACTTGGTGGAACGTTTGGTTGGAAAGAAACAGAAGAATTTTTCAAAACATCTCTTACACAGAGGATCGCGTTGCGAGAATAGTAAAGGAGGAACTTGATCTCAGACACACTGCTTTCCAACCCCCCTAATTGCCTTTTCTTTTTCGGATTCCGTTTTGTTTGTTTCAGGTTTACTCCCTTCTCCTTCAATGTCTTCCCCTGTATTCTCTGAACTGTTTTTCTCTCCTCTAATGAAATTCCGGCAGAGCTCCTGCCGTCGTTCACCTCAAAAAAAAAAATGATCAGGCCTCTGGATATACATGTATATATCCTGGAAAACTGAATTTTCTGCAATTAGTTACCCATCTGGATTTTCTGTATCGATTCTGAAACTTGTGGACCAACTGGATTTCAACTAATTTTATAATGTCTTAATTCATGATCTTCTTTGTATGTATCCTGCTAATTAAACTGAATTTTCTGCAATTGCCCATGCGAATACCAATCTACATATTACACACCCCTCTCCGTCTCTCGACACTGCTTATGTATTGGTTAGCTCTTCCTTTATTTGTTTGCGAGGTTTCGACTTGCTTGTCAATCTTGAAAGTTGAGGACATGACAAAATCACCAAGCCTTAGTCAATTGCTGATTAGATCATGCATCTCCAATGGAGATGCAGGTTCTCCACGATTAGTTGAGACCAGTGAGTAGAAGTACATATCAAGTGTACGTCACTGGATGCCAAGTTGATCATGGTATATGCCAATATGCCATCCAGCCACGACAAGGATAGCCAACAATTAAACCCAACTTAACAAGCGTGAGGGCTAGACTAGCTAAAAAAATGCGCAATGACTCATCGATAGATTTGGTCGAGCACAATCATTTTGGTCGAGCACAAATTATATGGCTGTTTATGGCCACCGGATAATCCGAGAGCACCGCGAGGCGAGTGCACCGCTTCATGGGCCGGCATATCGGTTTGGCATGCAAACCGGAGGTCTGGTTGGCCCAAATGACTCGTGTCCTTCTCTAGGATTTTTTTATTTATACATTTTTTTATTAAAATATTTACAAAAATAATTTTTTGTTTTGAAAATTTACAAATCTAGTCGCCTATCGCCCTTTGGGAGGGCAGTTTTTAAAAATCGCCCTCCTAAGAAGGTGACAAGGGACCTAAATGCAAATTTTCCAGCAGATCTTTTTAGCTCTATGATTTTACAATTTAAAATTATTATATAAAGTTAGATGAAATAAAACTTTATATCAAAATTGTAGAGCTCGAAGAGATCTACAACTTTGTAAGTTAACAACGTTTTCATTTAAGATCATTTAGATATTCAAATATTCGTTACAAAATATAAAACCTATTTTAAAAAATCTCAGATCTATATTTCAAACGACATCGGATGGAGATAAACTTTATATAAAAGTTGTAGATCTCGACGAGATCTACAACTTTATTGTTTATCACTTTTTCATTTGAAATCATTTGGAGTGTCGAATAAGCATTATTAGGTTTTAAGCAATTAAAACCGGTAGAAAGAGTTTGAACCTAAATAAAAAAATTACATTTAGGTCCCTTGTCGCCCTTTGGAAGGGCGATTAGAGAGTGAGAGGCGACTAGATTTGGAAATTTTCAAAACAAAAATTTTTTAAAAAATATTTTAATAAAAGAATGTAAAAATAAAAAAAATTCCTTCTCCAGAGACATACTGTTTCGTTGGAAAAAATAAGTCTAGATTATGTCCTGAAAGTTTACGTAGGTAACCTGGCCTAATTCAGAATTGGGAAGAAACACAAAGAGTCTGGGTATAGATGTCATCATGCTCATACTCCTTCCGTCCCTAAAATATAAATCTAGTACTGTATCAAAATAACTTAAACTCTAGGGATGAATTTAGATAGTTTAAGTTATTTTTAAAACAGAGGGAGCATGTAGTAGTAATAGTGTTGTGTTCAATCCTTCTCCCCCTGCCCTATCCAACTGACATGATACAACCACAACTATGAGATGATGAAGCTGCAGTAGACGAGGAGAAAATATTTTTAACACCTAGATCAATCACTACTGCTTGCCAGCAGCACGTGGAGTGATAGTGATGCGATAATGACGACACTCTCACTGAAATCTCGAGGCACTCATGAGTCATCTACTCTATAATTCACCAACTGATGTTTACATGCTCATTCCTCATTGATCGGTCAGGATTGTCTCGCTCGAATCCAACGTCCCAAATCGCTCCCACCATCTCCTCACACCGCTTCGTCCCCTCTCCCAATCTCCCGTCATCCACGCCCCCAAATCGCGCCCCTCGATCGAAATCGCTGCTTCCCATCCATTTCCTCACGCACAATTTGCGCTCCCTCTCTCCCGAGTGCAGCCGTTGCCACCGCCGATCGATCATCTCCGTGCGCCCCATCCATCCCTCCACGCGCATTCTCCGCTCCTTCTCTCCCATCGCTCCCTCTCTCCCGGAGCGCAGCCGTCGTCTCAACTTATCGCCGGTGACCAACGTTACGACGGGGTCATCGCCCTCGCCTCGCCTCCTCCGATCTCCTCACCACCGAATCTCTTTTGCGCCGCAACCGGCGCCCTCTCCACAGCGCAAGTCAGCTTCGATCCCTCGCGCGCTGCCACCGGCGCCCTCTCCACCGTGCCGCCATCAGTTCGTCGATCCCTCGCGCGTTGCCACCGGATTCCACCCCACCGCGTCGCAAGTCAGGTAGTCATCGATTCTTATCGTCCACTATCAGTCGCGCCACCCCTAGGACTCCTCGCCATCGCAGGTCATCGAACCCGCCGGCCAACAAAGTAATTAGGTAACCATCGCAATTTTGCATTTTACTGTAGAAATGCAAAATCGTTATATCAGTGGATGTGATTAATAATGCAACTTTCATGTTTCTTATGTGTGTATGCATATCCCACTACTAAACTATCAATGACGATGTCATGGTTTAATCAACTTCATTAGCATCTGCATCTTTTTATATAATGCAAATGGTTTAACTTGATTATCATCTGCATTGTGAAATTATTTACTTCTCTCATGATTGGGATGTTTATATCTGAAAATTCAGAGAAAGCGCTTAAATTAGCAGCGTTGGAATGCTGCAACAAATGAATTCTGATCGAACTCATACAATGCTAATTTTTTTTAACTTCATTGCTTGGTCAGCAACATAGCCCAGGAAACCAATTAAATTGATAGACATGTTGTGTGCTCTTTTAAGAGAACACCATCTGAATTGACATCCAAGTTAAAAGAAGACATTTAATTATCTGAATCATGATGCCAATATTCAGAGCTTCTTTTACTTTTAGTTGTATACATTATTCTGTGATGTGTACCGAAGGTTATATACAGAATGAGAATTTACCTCAATGCTGGAATTGTGCAGTGATAACTTCTGATTTGTGCAGTGATAACTTCCTTAAAATGTTAGATTTGTGCAGTGTTATTTTTTCCTTTAAAATGTCAAATGTGGTTTACATTTTTATTCATGACACCTGAATATGTACATATCGTGCATTAGTAATGTGCAAGCACTTATCGATGTATTGCCTAAAGGAACACTTTTTCAGATAATTAGTGAACTTATGAAAAAAAAACAGATGTTTAATATCTGAATAAATTCATATTCTCTTCTCTGTTTCATGCCTTCATCTGTTCATCAGGATGAGGTAGTTACTGTTGTACTGTAGTTGACAAAGTAATTAGAGTTTGTTGCATTGATTCCTGTGGACTGAATTTCCTGATTCAAGTCTCTTGTTGCTCACTGACAGCCCGTGATATGCCTTCTTCTCAGACAATATCCCCCAAAAGTCAAGCTCAAAGGTACGCATCCTCCTTCAATTTGAAGAAATATATTTTATATTTCACTCAGGTTTGTTTACATAGCATATGCTTAATTAAGGGTGAATAGGCATTTAAAATTGTTAGCATTTTCAATAGTGACAGGAAAATATAGGTTACATGAATTGACCATGAATACATCCAAATCCTTAAGAAAGTCATTTTTTTTCCAAATCAATATATTTCAAATAGCTGATACATGTGACAAAGGAAAATATAGGAGAACGGCCACATAGTAATCTGTTAGCATTTTAGTTTTTTTACATTAATCCATCAGTCCAGGACATCTTCATAAACAATATTCCCAAACCAAGTGGATCAAATAATATGGATGTTAGCATTTTGTTTTTTTTAACATTAATCCCATGTGCATAAAACCTGATATCTCTTTTGAATCCATTTGCTAATTAAGAGGCACGCTCTAGGCGGGACAGAGTTGCCGCCAAGGAGGTCGAGCTCCAAGCAACCTAAAACCTTATTGCCAGCTTTGAAAGAGATCGAATTAACTCTCTTTTCTATTTATTTTTTCAGCTTTGAATTAAATATTGTCGAGTGATGAAGCGAAGAAAATACTTAGTTTTTATCTTGATTACTTGTTTAAACCATTCATCCATTCCTTGGTTATCATTCTGGCAAGGTACATGTGATGCGCTGGATTAATTAGAAAATTTTTTAAAAAAGAGATGACATAACAGAAGATGGGCTACTTTGTTCCTTGAGCCAACTAAGCAAGCTAGCTACTGTGCATGCAGCAGAATCTCAGCTGTCCTTGGGCCTAGCCCATGGCGACTGAGCAGTGCCAAGCAGCAGCAGCAGTTGCAAGTTTAGTCCCACCTCGCCTAGCTAGCTTGAGGAGCACCAGCATATAAGGATGCAATGCCCGAGATTGACTCTGGTTTTTTTTTTGTGTGAAGCGAGGATAGTGTAGGTGTGGTCCAACTGAATAGGTTGGATCGAATACGATGGGCCCTGGGTCACAATATGCATGAATGATAAATTGATTGATCGATTAAAAATCTGGCTATTTTTTTGGTGAGATGGATTGATTTGTTGGTTTCTTAGGAATTTGTAGCACAGTATCAATTTTATGGAGTTTATCTATGGGTGGGTGGTGGACAGTAATGTGTGTGGTGCGTCAGTCTTAAGTTGTGCTAATTATTTTTTAACATGTGGTTTTTCTTTCTGACATGCTCTTTCATTGCAAATGGTTTCAGTAATTAACCATTCTCTGTTCACATACTGTTTAGGTGTTCGCAAACAGTCATGCTTGTAAAATCTCTTGCCCTTTTCCCCTAGGAATGTTAAATTTAATAATGTTATGCTCTTTTTAGGATTTCCCCTTGCCAATAGCATTGGTGGAGATAAAGTGGAAGGTGGAAAACTAATGACCATGGGAAGAAGGTCTGACTATCTCATTGTCTTATTTGACCTGTATTTCAGTATGCGTTTAGCTTCTTGGCAATCAATTGTGGATGCAATAGAACTGTTTGAGCTTCTTGGTACTAAATCTGGGTGGTACTTGTATGAGCTAGATTCGCATTTGGATATCCGTACGTGTTGGTGTGGGTCCTCGAGACCGAGGGAGTAGCTGAGAGACTGATGATGAACGTTGTGTTTTTCATGGGCGATGGTGATCTGGTGGTGCTGGTGTTTGACACGGAATTTTTAGATAAACAGAGTAGCAAATTTTTGATAGACTAACAACTCTCTGAGTATTTGGTTTATAGGATTGCACTTGAAAAAATTCAGGATATATGGGATTTGTTGGAATATCTGTATAGCCTATACATCTGCAGTTTAAATTTACAGCATGTTCTGTAAACTAATTCATATGGTCAAACAGATTAACAAGTCTAAACTATAAAGGACAAATTTCAATTTTCATGATGCAAAGTGGAGAAAATTGCTCTTACACTCTCTAACATGCTTTGTGAAGACATGAAGGCTGGTCCAGATAGGGTTCTTGTTCTTTATGATCAGACGAGTTAGACAATGACTTGTGAGTCTTTAGAAGATAAACTCTGCATAATTGTAACTTTCTATCCAGCTCAAATTTGTCTCCTGTGATCAATATAGTTTATAAAATAATAAAAATGCTTTTGCTTGTAATATGAAGTTTGGTTTGTATTACTTCTACGCAATATGTTTAGTTTGTATTCCTAAGCGCATAAGGAATTAGATTGTTTTCAAACATGCAAAAAAAATTGCAATTTGAGTTTTCTCGTTGGTATCTAATTAGCAACAGTATAATAATTCTTTTTCATATTGCCCAAGTATATCTTGATTTTCATTATAAAATATAACCGTAGAGTTAGTACGGGCGTATTACTAGTGACTCATGATTGGAGCAGTGAGAGTGGAGAGTGGACTGCTATCCGGATCAGAGTGCTCTAGTAGTTGCAGTCAACGAAGGAGACTGGCTACTTGCTTTGTGTACTTGTGTAGTTGTGTTGCTATCTGGCAACCGGCAAACACACTGATCACCATTCATTGCTCGGTGAAATCTTGAGACATTCTGGAGCTTTATTTTTCCATTAGTGAAGTGAGATCGAGTGGAGTGCCAAGCTAGCTACTGACTACTGAGTGCTCTGGTTGGAGTCAATGAAGATGACTGGCCAATTTGTGTAGTTGTGTGTTGCTATGTGGCAAAAACCACCATGATCATCCATTGCCTAGCTAGTGTGCTCCCACCATCTCCAAAAAAATAAAAAAAGTCAGATATGTGTAGCCTCAATTGGAATTACTAGAAGTTTAGGGGCATAGCATTCAATTTATGGTTTAAGTAGACCTGATATCAAGATTTTACCTTTCTTGTCGATCGAACAAACGGTGAAATATATTCGCAGGCCTACATCTTTCGGGTAAGATAGAGGAAGATGTAACTAGCAGGGTTTCAAATTTCGAAATTAGGGTTTCTACCGAGGGGGAGCGATAGAACCGAAATTTCGGAATTTTTTCGTACGAAATTTTTTGAAATTTTGACTGATTTTGAATGGATTTGAATAAAATTTGACCAAATTCACAAAAAATTGCAAAAAACCGAAATTTTCGGGCGAGATATGAACATTTCGGTGTGGGGTGAAATTTCGAACCGAAATTTCAAACACTGGTAACTAGCACAATTGCAGTTTTCCTTGATTCCAATTTCCAATGAATGAGACAAAACAAGACGGCGTGTACACAGTTCACGCAACAACACTTAAAATTAAATCTTACAGCTAATCGCAAGCAGCGACATGAGAAACGACATGAATTTTTATAGCAAGCTAGAAGGGCTGCTGGTGCTCGCAGTCGAGGTTGGGCCCGACGTCGACGCCGAGCACCTGGCAGTAGCGCCGGTAGAAGCCGATGCGGTTGTTCACCCGGGCGTCGCCTGCCCGGTTGCACTCGAGCCCGCCGTTGACGATGTTGGTGACCAGCCCGAAGCCCGCCGTGCGGTTAGCCGCCACGTCGGCCGGGCCGGGCCGGTACTCCCCGACCATCACCTGGTGGCACGACGGCTTGGTGTCCCTCGGCGTCATCCAGAACCACAGCGCCGTCTGGAACGCTATGTCCGAGCAGTTGGCCACGATCTCCGGGTTGCGCAGACCATCGAAGCCCAGGGCCTGGCCCGCCGGCCCGTAGTTGAAGTTCCTGCTCATCATCATGCATACATTACGTTGGTGACTAGAAAACGATTTTTAGAGAAATAGAACATTTTACATGTAGACATTATCACAGTACCATAGATACTAAATTTATAATATAGATACTAGACATGTATCTATAGATGATACTAAACTCTGATATGTGCATATCATACTGATATTAGTATGATATCTTTAATGTAGATACCAAAGGCGATATCTATAATTATGAATATAAATTATACCATTCCAATAGTATAATGTTTTCTAGTCTTGGTAACCTGGTGTTACTTGGTTGGCTAGCACAGACGTTGACTGCCGTGTACGCAGCCCACCTGGGTTTGATCCTAAGCGATCGTAAAACCTGTGTGTACTACCAGCGGCGATATATATCTAGCTTAGATGTAGAGGCCCGATATACCCTTTTTTTTTCAAAAAATGTTTTCTTGCCTCTGTGATGAGTGACTAATTAGTGAGGAGTTGAGGTGTGTAATTACCATGAGATTTGGATGGGGCCTCGGCCATGGTAGGACTTGCCGGGGTAGCACGGCCACTGCTTGTCGGTGGCGTCGCAGTAGCTGCTCTGCGGGTTGATCTCCTCCTTGTAGCAGAGGCCCCAGGCGTAGGGGCCGTCGGGCGCGGTGGCCCAGCCGCCGGTGGTCTCGTGGGAGATCTGCGCGAGGAAGGCGGCGACCTCGCGCTTGCGGGCGTCGGCGCAGCCCGTGGCGGCGAACCGGGGGAACCTCGTCGCGGCCCTGACGAAGGACGCGTAGGTGTAGAACCCCCTCGCCGGGCAGGCCGCGTCGTCCTTGTGCAGGAACAGGGAGGCGTACAGCTGCTCGCTGACGATCGACGACACCGGGCTGGGGCTGGGGCTGTACCCGCCGCCGCCGCCGCCGCCGTACCACCGCGCCTCCGCGCCGGAGGCCGCGACGACGACGATGGAGAGCACGGCGGCGAGGAGGAATGGTGTGGCGCGAGGAGCAGGAGTGGGCTTCGCCATGGCTGCAGCTGTGACTGTGATATGCGCGAGTGCGGACATGGTCGACGATTGGTCATTATATATAGAAGTGGTGCGTCCATCGTCCATCGATGCGGTGGTGGTGGTGGTGGACGGAGTGGAGTGTGACGACACGCGGAAGCGACGAAGACGGCCGGCCGGCGCCACCGCGCGTGGCAGCATGCAGCAGCTAGCCGGTGGTGGTGGGGGCGCAGCTAGGCGCTAGCTAGTGGCGGTCAAAGCGTTGACGTGGCGTGCCATCACGGTTTGACCTGATCCTGTCACTTAGGACCGTGATTTGTGCGAGCTTAGCTAGGGTAAGTTTATAATTGATTAGTACAGAAGATGCTTTGCTTTCCGGGCTTTGGGAGGGGATTAGAGTACTTTTACATTGAGGAAATATAAATGGAGAATAACAAATTAAATATGCGTGCCAAAAAAATCGGACTCCTGTGCACCCACCGCCCACGTGCCACCACCACATACGCGTCTCCATCACAACGCGTCCCGTTGCAACAGTTGTTCGGATATAACGGAAACACCCTATTAAAGGGTATCTGTTTCATTGTTTGCTCCACCAACAATGTTTCAACTAGTGTACTCGTGATGTTTCACTATGTATGTATTAAATGTTGCAGTGGATTTTGATACTGTTTAATAATTTCATCTTAATGGATACGTGGGTTGTTGATGTACATTGGGTTTAAGTATTTAAATGGTTTCAAATTGTTTGTTGCATACGTTGAACCAAATTGTTTCATAAGAATTGAAACATTCTTTCACTATTTGCTGAAATATTATTTTTATATAGGGTGAAACAACATCTGAATTTTTGGAAATCGGTGTTTCATACGTTGAACCAAATTGTTTCATCTAGCGTTCTAACCGTGTTTCACTTTTTTTAAGAATTGAAATATTCTTTCGCTATTTGCTGAAACATTATTTTTATATAGGGTGAAACAACGTCTGAATTTTTGGAAATCGTTGTTTCATACGTTGTAGCAAAATGTTTTATTAGGTGATTTGATTGTGTTTCAGCTTTTTAAAAGACTGAAACATTTTTGATCTATTTAGTGAAACAGTTTAATCTACTTGGCGAAACAGTGCCCGATTTGTAGGCGTCTCCTTAGGTTGCGTTCTTTACCGTTGGTTCCCAACCCCTCCCCCTCGTTTTCCGCACGCACGTTTTTTAAACTGCTAAACGGTGTGTTTTTTACAAAAAGTTTCTATACAAAAGTTGCTTAAAAAATCAAATTAATCTATTTTTAAAAAAAAAGCTAATAATTAATTAATCACGCGCTAATGGATCGCTCCGTTTTCCGTGCGGAGGGGATGGGTTTCTAACCTCAACTAACAAACACAGCCCTAGGATTGGTCCATTATCTAAAAAAAATATAATAAGAATTGGTCAAAGTTATGGAAGAGCTAGCAGGACGTACGGTGTGTGTTCTTGGGACCTTTGTGTTATGTGTCACAAGATATATGATACTGGAGCTAATTTTGGTCACGAGGCAAGCTGGTTTCATAAACAAAAAAATTAACAAAAACAAGTATAGTCGATCATTAGTAGTATATTGCAGCTAGGCCGGCGCCACCTACAATTGCTATAGTACTGCGACGAGCTGGTTTCAAGCTTAAAAAAAAAAAGAAAAGAAGAAGAAAATATTGGGTTGGTGGTGCATGCCAGCACTCTTACAGATCATCATGGCTTGCTATTTAGAAATACCTAGCTATTGACTAGTTCGTTGTTGATTAATTTGTTAATCCGTTCCTGGACAGGCCTGCAGCTACAACACCGGAAGATACTTTGTTTACACCCAAGAGAGATTAACCTTTTGTGTATTGGGTTGGTGGTTCATGCATGCTAGCAGCCCTAAGCAAGAAAACGTGCAAACCGGTATATAGAAATGAAGATGCTCTTATGGGTGAATCATGAGCACGTAGGAGATTTAATATGATCAAGTCAACCAAAAGTTGAGCGGAGTTGCAGCAATATTACCAGTTAGTGCATCAATATATTCGGTCGATTACTGCTGCTTGACGGCAATATTTTCTTCAATTACTAGATGATTTCACATGTTTTGCTGTGGGAATTACAATTAAAATATAATCACGTGAAATCTTGTTATAAATATTTATGTGCAAGAAATACAATGGCGTAATTAGATCATATATTAGATAAATAATTTTGAAGAAAAAGTTGATTGAAACTTGCTCCAAACTTTATATGCACGCATGAATACCTGCAGATGCAGATGGTAGGAGAGTACAACCATGCAGGGTGCATAGAGAGCACGGGCATGATGCCTATGACGCACGTGTAGGGTAGAGGATAAGAAATACATCCGCAATGCGGGAGGGCACCCGATTTTTAGAAAAAAATCGGACATCCAATTTATCCAATTTATAGTCTTGTCCAAATAATATAATATAATCATTTGAAAAACATGTATGCAAAGATACCAACAGTCTACCAGTAATAATTATCATGTTACTAGTTATCGTGCACGTGCAAGACACGTTTTGGCATTTTTTATGCAATGCACTCCATGCAAATTCTACCGATAAAAATAGAGTTTCATAGACCATGATAGGATGAAAATTTGTATGGATCCATTAAAAACACCTAGAGAAGCAAACCTTGTGTTTCTTGCTCCAAGAATATGTATCTAATTCCAGATAATTCATTCAGCATAGGAAAAATTCTAAAGAATATAGATTTGAATTGACATCCTTAATAATAGCACAGTGGTTATCTTCATACAATCTGATCTTTTTATACAAAATTTAAAATACATTTATATGATTCTTGAAATGCGAACACCACCGAAAGAGATTATAAGGCAATGATTTGTTGTATCTGAAGCCTTTAAAGTACAACAATTGATCTTTCCCTTCACTTGCAGCTATATGTCTATACAATTGTCCACGCCAGAGTGCAATGAAAGTGGATTTTGTGGTGATGGTGATTCTTCTCCTACTGACAGTCTCCCCAATCATCAAAGCCCAAGTTGTCATGATGTTACAGAGTTATAGAATGCGCAGTGATGCATTTGAATTAATAAGGATCAGACAATTGCTAAGATTCCAGTGCATGTCACTGGGTAGGCCAAGGGGAATTGGTGTGCATCACCTGTTCATGCAAATGGATTTGGTGTAGAGCTTCCAACAACATTATCCACTGCAATAGGCCAAGGGGCACCGATCAGTGGCCACCTGCATACATATACATATTGAAATTAGTAGTTCATCAGTCAAGATGATCAGTGGTTATCTTGGGCTCTATCAGTTGTTCATAGCAAGAGGACAACTCATGTGCATGATCAAATTATCATGTAGACGATGGAAATAAGTGTCCCACCAGCTTTAGGCTCTATCAGAATGCATGTTTACCTGCAGGAAAGTGTACTAAATTATTGAAAAGTTTGAAGTGAATCTTATTTCCATATTCTACTACATAGAAACAAAATGCAAGGAAGAAATTCATATAACAGTCTTCTCCTTTTTGTCTCTGCCTCCATTAACAGAAATTCCAAAGCTCCATATGAATGCCCTATAGGACAATAGGACACTGCACATAAATATGTCATCAATTTCTCATATTCTTATTTGTAGAACTGCATTACAGGGAGGAATACAATAGCCCATGGCTAGCATAATTCTCATGGAGGTAGATTTCAAACAGATCAAAATAGCAGAACTTTAATGACTCATATGAGCAAGCCTGTGATTAGTCGATTGAGAGCATGTTTTGGAATATATATCACAGGAAATAATATATAATATCTATTGTAATATACAATGTGACACCCAACTATTAGTCCATTTAAGTCAGTAATTCATGGAAAAAAAGGTGCATACACTGTCATTATAGCTCATAGTCCACTTTCCCTGTCTCTTTGCGCCCTTCCTCTTCCCCTTGCTTTTCCTGTGAGCCATCGAGCTGCCACCACTGGACATACCAAGGAGTAAAAATTAAAATTGTACCATCAGTATTCAGTAACTTACAAAACAAATAGCTTTATTTGATGAGAGGCATATACATGGATATTGCAAAGTTTTATTCACTCCAAATCTGAAGATGTACACATTGGCCTAAATCTATATAAATCTCAAGACATAAACTGGTGACCTTATATAAACCTCAAGATGTACACAGGTGACCAAAATATTGTAATTGATTTACTTTTCCACTTAAACTGAAAAGGTTGTGTATGGTCCAAACAGAATGAAAAACAGTCACATAAATTGTTTCAGTAGAGAGATGGGTACCATTCCCTGGTCTCCGAAGCAGACTACCATTCCAAAGGTCATATAAAGTGCAGACGACATCAATCCAAAGTGGCAAGCAGAATGATCTATACATGGATGTGTTAAACTTAACTCGACCCTGTCAAGCCATCAACTCTGATTTGATGAACATTCATTCTTTTATATATATATATATCCTCGATTAAAATTTCTGATAACTATTGAAATACATAATTGCCAAGCCTACTCCTTTTTCCCAAGTTATGTTTTCTAATAACGTCTAAGCAGTAAAACTTTGTGTATATAGAATGATCTTCTTCAAATTTTGTGCATATAGAATGATCTTTTTTTTGCCCTGCCTCCCGTTTACCTATTACTCTTTCTTCTTCTTGCAGGGAAAGAAAAATCAATCCTCGCTGACTTATGCACAAACTGCACAAATTTCATAAAGTGCATGCATATATGCATTCTGATTTTCATCTCAGATGCAAGAATTTGCTCAAAAATAAATATGATCTTCAGCCAATGTGCAGAGGTATGCATAAATCAATTGATTCTAACCTGTGGCAGTTAGGTTAACCAGAGACATTCAAGTACATTTGCTGGAGATAATTCAACCACTGGAGAAAATTTTCATACATTTTCAGTTTTTCAGTATGGTCGTAACCTGTGGCAGCGCTGGAGTTTGGCGGCGGCGGCGGCAGCTGGGGATGACCTCAGCTCCGTCGGCGGCGGCAGATGGGGAGGACGTCGGCTCCAGCTGTGGCCGATGGGGAAGAGGAACGACCTCGTCTCCAGCGTGGCCAGCGGTGGAACCATATCTTGCACTGTTGCAGAGTTAGGCATTTTGCAACATTACACATTGGGTTAGAATCAAGGTTGAACCATATATTGGGAGGAAAATTATGCTAGCTTTACTTGCATCGTAATGTAGAAAGGAAATATCGTTGACTCCTTGGCTCATAGCACAACAAAGTTTCAGTTAATAATTAACGCATGAAGAAAGATAAAAGAAAAAACAATGTGCCTGTGCTTACCACCATGGCGAGCGAGACCAACAAATTGAAGGGCGCAGCACGACGGTAAGTCGTAATCACGAAAGCCAATAGAGCAACTCAGTTGTCAGAAGCAGTCGGCAGACCACCAATCACATGAAGGGTGGAAGAAGCAAATTCCATCTGTTAAGTTCAATGCAGTAAACATTTTAGATACTCAAACCTTATATATACATACATATTTAGTTGTTTATATACTGCTTAATATCTTAGTCAATTCATCTGCACCTGTGGTCAGTACGTGTACAAACCCAGGTTTGCACATGCATCTGTACGTTACTATATAATTCATATAGAAAAGAAATGGATTAGGGACCAATATGCCTGTCATTGGCTCGAGCAGTCTAAACTTGAACAGCTTTTCAGGACGTTTTCTAGTCACGGGAATTGCTTCAATCTCATCCCTTTTTATTGTTTGATTGCTCTACTTTCGTATACAAGGAGGACAGGACAAGGAATGTTATAAGTCGTAACCAGACTCATAACAGATATGGACCAGAGCACATATATGAACAAAATGAAGAAGGTGTAATATATTCCAACCCGGTACAAAACCTGCAATTGATAGTACCAGATGATTCAGATCAATATACCTATCAACAGGAGTAGCAAATATCCATAGAACTAACCCCAACTTCAGGGATCCAAACAAGTCGATCTGGGAGAGGGCATGGACTGGAATGTGACAAGGTGTGGCAGCAGCGGGGGATCGAAGGCGTTACCTGAGGGTGAGAAGGGAGGATATCACCGGCGAGGAGGCCCATGCGACAGGGAAGGAGCAGAAAGCCCGACGAACTTCTTGTGCGGCGCCGCGAGTGACGATGATCTTCCTGGGCGGCACCGAGGTCGAGGGATCCCATCGAAGTCGGGCTGATCCTTGATCGCCTGTGGGAAGGGGGAGGGGGTGCGACACGGGGATTCCGGGCACGACCTGCACACTGCACAGGTAGGGTAGGGGTAGGCAGTGGGCGATGAACGGCGCCGAGCTCCGCTGAGCCGTCGGAGTGGAGAGGATGCGCAAAGAGCGCATGGCCGGCGCGGTGGAGGGGACGGTTGAGGTGGAGTGGGAGGGATGATGGGGCGACGGCGGCGCGGCGCGTTGGCAGCGTCGGTGGTGATTGGCGTGAGGGTGGGGATTTTTGGGTGAACCATGTCGTAGGGGGGGGGGGGGGGGCGGAAGAGAGGCTAATAGGGGAACGTGGAACAATCTGATTTTCGGATGTTGGATGGATTTGATGGATGAGATCTGTAGGATGAATGGATGGACGGCAGGGATTTCACCTGTTGATTTGGCCAGTTGGACTGGGAGGGGTGAACTCCTCCTTTTTATACTAGTATAAGTATATATGAATTCCAATCATAGAAAAACTACTGCATATGCTATCAACCGTTACATCTTTCTTAAAATAGTAAAATAGAAAAATAAATCAGAAATATGAACGTAACTAAGAATATGGCATAACATTAACCTACCATTGACCTACCATTGCAGGTGATTCGCTAACACAAAACACCATTCGTCTGGCCAATATATTAAATACAAAATAAATAAATCAGCATGGCTAGGCTACTTGTGTAAGTATAGTGGCTCCGACACCATACCACACACGCATGTTTTTTTGAACCCGTTTTAAATTTCACCTCAACCCTACTTTTCTCTACCTTTTGTTTTCCAAATTGGGAGGTGAACAAATTTGGATATAGGTAGTACAGTACAACATTGCTTAAGGATCATGCTATGGTTGATAGAGTGGCTTTTCTTGGGGTAGGCCGAGATATGGTCGATAATTAGGTTACAACTCATTTTTGTGTAGGTGTGTGGGTATGTCGGCAGGGGTCTGCCGTTACTTTCAAGAAAATTTAGGAACTGCAACCCATCCATGCACAATCAAACCAAGTGAAGACAGTAACGTCAGGTGCGGTCGACTGGTCGGGGGTTTATAGACATTAGTGAACCGGTAACTGTTAGACAATGAGGTGAAGAAAATTGAGAGCCTATACAGTACTGCATGTGCAGTATTGCTTGCTGAAATGTGAACCCCACATACCCTCAGGCCCATATGTCAGCGAGTAGTACTGTATACTGTAGAGAATCTCAATTGAAGAAAACTGTGTTGCTGATTAGCTGGGTTATCACTACTATAAGTGAGGGGGAATTCAATGTTTTTGGTTGGTTCACAACATATAACAATGGCATTTTCGTCATTATAAAAGAATCTTAACAATCTGAAATTATTTTGTCAAATATGTCTAAACTAGTCATTACCTAACATATTAATTTGTTCCTCATTGGTATCCTTCATTATATATGAAAATATAATGTTTGCACAAATATATAGGAGAAAATTCCATGTGTAAGTTAGAGGAACTTTTTTATGCCAGAAATTAGTAGTAGGTTCTTTTAAACGTCGTTCAAACGTGAAGTTTTTTTATTCAGTTACTGCTATATTGGTAACTAGTAAAAATCTACAAACAGCCAAAAAAACCAGTATTCCACGATTTTACGAAGATAATGACTATACCAAAAGTGATATGAACTCCCATATAATCCTAGCTACCATTAGGGATTCACCCTTCTTTGGCATGAATTTATATGTATATACATACATTTATTGTGCAAGATTATCAGAAAAATACATAGAGAAATGCATAATGTAACATCAATTTTGGGTTACAGTAGATAAGCTATATCTGAAACGATATGCCCCCAAAACAAGGCGTGGTTATAGTCAACCAACCAGTTTCATTGTTTGACTAAAACTAATAATAAAAAATTGATAACTTACTTATCCTAGTAATACATAAATTCAGCTCATTTCCTGCAGAAACCACATTTATGCGTTACTCATTCATTCTTTTCTTAAACTAGCTACAAATAAGAAATTATCAAGTGGAAAAGAAAAACTGTAAGCCAAGATTAGAAGCTTTCAATTGTTGTGATAATGTTAGATATCATGCAAGGAGTATTCCATAACTGATATTGTATAGCTAGTAAGCTTTATCCTAACAAACCTTTATTTCTTTATTTATCATTGTAATTATTGATTAGTTATTCCTACGCACCTTAATCCCAAGCATTTGTGTATATATTGTTTCACCCAAGTCTTGAGAAAAGAAAGAAAGAACAGTTCTCTGGACTCTGGTATGTGAACCTGTGATCATTTTCATCTAGCTAAAGGTTAATTTTGTCGTTGTTTGGAATTCCTAATACAATTAAATTAATTGATTCCAAAATCCTGCAAAGTTCATGTGAACTTGTCAGGTTCCAAATGGGCCTTAAATTAATGGTAATAATTAAGAGCTAAAAGAGCTGCACATTAAAAATCACTTGTTCACGCGTTTTCTCCTCCTCCATATCCTAGTAATAAAAAAGTAAATCCTACAAAAGAAAGAGTACCTCCGTTCCTTGAATCCTGGTTTTTGCAAAGCTATGTTGTAGTCATCCCTGCTAGCTGACCCTCTCATATAAAGCCACCCCTTCTCCCATCCTACCACCTCACACAAAAGAAAGCATTTCACCTTAATTAATTTGTCGGATACTACAGTAGCTAGCTAGCTTAGCTAACTAACTTGTAGCTTGGGCAACATGGCTCGCAATAGGATCATCCTCAAGAAGGTCGCTAAGGATTCCACTCGGCGCCTCACATTCAAGAAGCGGCGCAGGGGCTTGATCAAGAAGGCCGGAGAGCTGGCCTCGTTGTGTGGTATTGGCGTGTGTGTGGTGGTGTATGGAGAGGGCGAGGTGAAGCCAGAGGTTTGGCCTTCTGCCCCCGAGGCACGAGCAATCCTCTCCCGCTTCAACTCGGCGCCGAACATTGATAGGTTCAAGAGGGTGACGAACCAGGAGCAGTACCTCCGAAAGCGCATCGCCAAGGCTCGGGAGCGCACGAGCAAGGCGGACGATGTCAACCGTGAGCGTGATGCTACCATCATGCTTTATGAGGCCGCCACCGATAAGCGCCCAGTGGCAGACCTCAATGTCCAGGAGCTCACCAACCTCGGATTGGTGATCAATGAGCGCATCAACCACCTGAAGGAACGCATTGAGCGCCTTGGAGGTGCGGCCCTCATGGCGCCACCGCCATCGACGCAACCGACGGAGGCATCATCATCCTTGCCACCGCTAGTGCCATACGCCAATGGTGCTGGCATGGAAGGGAACAAGAGGATGAAGGTGAGCACGCATCAGAAAGGCTGGTTCATTAACATGAGCACCATGACAGGTGACGCAGGGACCTCTGCCGACGTTGAAGGCAATACTGGTGTTGGCACCAGCGCTAGGGGTGACATGATGCATCTTTCCAACTAGTTGGGTGTAGGTTATCGTGGCCTGATATGGCTAGCTCTTCTATCCTCCCTCATATGTGTGGAGGTTCTTTGGCGGTTTGACGTACCGCTGCATGTATCTTATTTGGTTCAATTCTTATTTGGTTTACCTAGTCGAGGATTCATAGTCCTATGTATCTTACTATTGCATGCATGTTTTGTGTATTCCGATCCATGAGCAGAGATATATGTTTCTAGTATACTTCATGTTGTTACATTTTCTCGAAGAAAAGAGAACTTTTTTGTATCGCGTGCCATCATTCGATTTGGGTAGTATATCATGCGTCCATGCATCTGTTTGTTTCCTATGATCGATACAATGGTATTTTTAGTTTGTTATAAATATCTGTGATTATTCAGTTTTTCGTGTTCCTATGAAACTTGAAATGTTTGAGCGACTTTAAATATAATGCAAAATAATTAATGTTGTGCAACTTGTTGAATCTGATGCCTCACATGTTCCATGGATGCACTATATATGGGTATCTCTATGCGGATGATATTGGGAATGTCTTCTCAATCGCAATCAAAGTGCTAAATTTTGAATAGACCCTCATTTGGAATGTTCTATGTGACAAAATTGGAATGACTTTTTTTTATAAATTGCATTTTAGCTATTTGATAAGCCGTTTAGCACTGTGATCTATATATGTAACGTGCTAATATGCAGAAATAATATGATTTCTTATAATAACGAGAATCATGTGGTGGAGTTGTTTATGTGGAATGTTTGAACAACATTCTTATTTAGGGATGTAAAATATTTGCACGCCATTGTGCTAACGAAGAAATAGTTAATACAATACTATGGTGATTAATCCATAAGGCATAGTCAAGATAAAAATTAAGAGAGAACAAGGAAAGAAATGAACCATTAACTTGTAGTAATAATGCATGTCGTGAAGTGGGAACCGGAGTCCCTACTACCGGCTGCTCGGATGTCCAGTGACACATCAACAAACCGGCTGGCCTGCAACACTATCAAGTTAGACTCAAGCAAATACCCAATATGCACCCGATAAGTAACGTGACAAGATCGAGCCTAGGCCCACCCTTGAGATGGGGGTTGATCTCAGGTTCATCCATGTGTCCACTAGCTAGGACCTGAGCTCGGGGCACATATGGTCGCGGTCTGCCACCGAGCTAGGTCCCCGTGGGCTGCTTGGGGTAACAGTGGTGCCTTAATCAGGATGAGATGCGTTGTGCTGTTGCTGCCATTGACAAAGCAAGTTTCGCATTAAATGCTATAAGACGCTCTACCCTGCTTGCTACGAAGATGACGGGATGATGGGATGTTGTCTGCAAGGCCGACCCACACGCCATCATCACCCCTATGGGGAGGTGGTGTGGGGCTGTTAGGCGGCACGACATATTGACGTGTGCTGCTCGACAGGTCCTACCACCTTTTCACATGTTCCTCCAGTCTAGCCCGACAAGTGGGACGCGCTATGAGCCTTTTAGGTGAGATCCTTCTCCCCCAAGCCTTCTCCGGTCATGCGGGATGTGGCAAATCAATGCCTTTCCAAGCTTGGCCCTGTGGGGGGCCCTCGAGGACACAATGACTGGGCCCACTCATCAACAAGTGACAAAACATTATGTACCTAATCCCTGTATGCTAGGACCCAACTGTTAGAGCTTAGCCATTGTAGTATTCACCAGCTAACTATAAGGGGAGAGCCAAGGCCTCCGAAAAGAAGGATCAAACCTAATAAACTCTCCACACATTTTGTAAAACTTGTAGGTTAGCCTTTAAATCCAAGAACAAAGGAAGAACACCATATAAGTAGGGTATTATGTCTAGTATGGCCCAAATGTGTATAACCAACATTGGCCTATTTACTACGACAACAACTAGGGATGCTCCCGCTACCCGCATAAAAACCCGCTTGCTAGTTCATTTCCCACATGGTAGTACAAAATTTAAAAGAAAAAATGAACTAGAAGTGAGATAAGCGGGCTAAAAAAAACCCGCTTGCCCGCCCCGCTTGCATCCCTAACGGCAACTCCTACCTTGCGTTCCCCCTCCTTGGGCCAAACTCACGGGTGGGGTGGGGGCGGGGGTGGGGGTCCGTTGATTCCCTGCTAGAAGAGCTTGTTCTACGACAGCGCAATGCATCAAGAGCACATTGCCAATTTCCACACATCGGTGCTCCTCATTTGGATAAGAATATCTAGCTTGGACAAAACAGACACGCATTTGACACATTCTGAATGTGCAAACTTAAATTGAAATAACTAATGATCAAGGTCAAACATCCTTTTTTTGATATCCTTAATCTACACGAAAGTTACAAGGCTCAAATCCTATTTGTATTCGCGACTACATGTGTAGTGCAAAAGGAAAGAAGTGGAAAATGAACTAAACCTAAGACCATACGAGTAAGTTGAAGCACAATGTTTTTAGTTTGATTCGATCATCTTGCTTGTATACATATATATTTGGTGCAACCATGTATTACTCTATACAAAATTAGCTTTGCTAATTAAGCTGGTTACCTAGTATGCATGCTTCAATGAAGTGGTCATTGGTTCGATTCTTAGCCATGCACCGCTCTTTCCCCTCAACTTATTCACAATATTTTTCTATCTTCACTTATGCTGTTCACCAGTTACTATTTGAGACCTGCTTACTAGCTATTCTTCTTTAGGATTGAAGCAACTTTCTAAAAAGAATGCATCCTTCATTTGAAAAACATCTTATATGTAATGGTGAGGACACACATGGTGTGTGATAAAAAGATATCCAACAAATTGTGTATCTTGTCATGACCCAACATTTGTAGGCTGGTTGTGCACTTTAAGAAATGTAGTATTCTGGATTGCCCATGTTATGTTCTTGTTTACTTCAACAAAGCGCATGGTTGCTAAATATGGTAATTCGACCTACTTGCCAATTGAAGTGCATGAAGAGCATACAATCACTATCAAGGAAAAGAAGTTGCACTCACATCATTATCATTAGTCACTAAATCTTAGCCCTCTATCTTTCTTCTTCGAAATAATTCCATCCCAAATATTTTAGTATCCACAGCTACAAAAAACGACCCGTTATGCACCCATCAAATTATAATGGACGTAACTACACAGCTAGTGGTAGCTGGTTTGTCTAAACCAGCTATCACTCCATCTATAAGAGGCACCATCCTCCTATACTTCAAATACAATTTTCTCTAAAACTACTAATCCAATGTATGATCCGATTATACCGTTGTGTTCGTAACAATTAAATCTTTACAACAAGATCTCACATGATTATATTTTGATGAAAAATCACAAATTACTTTTATGATATGTCTAAATTACTTTTAGATTTCACTAAGTTACTTCTTAGATATATAAAAGTAAATTCAGTAAAGCCTAAAAGTAATTTACATATATTATAGAAGTAACTTAGAACAAAACGAAGGTAACTTTGGCATGTCATTTGAAGTAAATCCGTTGTAGAGATAAAAACATGACTCTATCTAGAAATTAAATTAATCAGCACAAATTATGGAATTAACTAAAAAAAATAAAAGTAATCATCTCAGAGCATTATGAATGTATAGGAAGTATTTTAATCAAATCTAAAAGTAACATATATATGATAATTTGTTCAATAAAAAAAGGCATTAATTAAAGTTACTTTCCTTTTGTTATAAGTTACTTCTATAATATAATATATGTAAATTACTTTTAGGCTTTACTGAATTTACTTTTATATGTCTAAGAAGTAACTTAGTGAAATCTAAAAGTAATTTAGACATATCATAAAAGTAATTTGTGATTTTTCATCAAAATATAATCATGTGAGATCTTGTTGTAAAGATTTAATTATTACGAACCATTTGAAGCTTAGATGATAGGAATATTTCCCCTGCTTACTTAATGGATTAGTACTATAGTAAAGTAAGATTCTTCAAGTTAACACATATTTGGATAGGGGTCGCTTGTTATGACTAAATCGAGAGTGCTCTCGATTTAGATTTTACGAATTATAATGGGACTGGTATTCTTGCCCCTACTTTCAGATGCAATTGTGATATTACCCCTATTTTCTAAAGTTTGTAAATATACCCCTACTTTTTTCAAACGAAGTTGTTTAGCTCTACTTTGGATGACCGCTTGGTCAACCTAGGATAAAGGGGGGGGGGGGGTGAAATAATAGATGAAATAACTGAGAAAATATGATTGGACCTTTATACCTCAACATGCGAATAACAGCAACTGCATTGTTTTTTCATTGCACCAACGCTGATTCACCCGATCCCTATCCCTAAATAAATCCTAACCTTAGGCATGGTGGCAGCAGCGGCGCATGTGCACGAATAAGCTAGCGGCAGTGGGGCGAGACCGGGCCGACGCAGCAGCTCAGCGAGTCAGTGAGGTGCAGCGAGCAGCCAATGCCTATACCTGCATGAGGCGTGAGGTGCACCAAGCAGCAGGACGCTCTCGCGGCAAGCCCAACGTAACAAGCAGCGGACAAAAGAGATGACCGTGAGCAGGAGAGTAGGCGACAGTGGAGGGCATACACAGCAGAGGAAGAGGTGAGCAGGCAGGGGTCCGACAACGGTGTATTAGCAGGAGGTGGCTCAGGCAGCAACGTGAGCAAGGTAAGGATGCGACGACGGCCTGGTGGGGGCTGTGTGCCAGCACGATGCAAGGCGAGTGACTCGTCATAAGCAGGCACCAATGCCTTTTGTTTTTTTCCTTTTCTTTATTGATCCTATCCCATAGCATTTGTGAGGAATTTGTTCGGTGATTTTTTTTTACCGGTGAAGGTGATGAATCTTTTGGTGAATTTTGCACTTGGTGTAAGTTCTACGAAAATCGTATCAAAATGATATCAAATTCTTTAAAAAGTTATCAAAGTTCGGTTCGATTTTGCAAAACATACCGATCCTTTTAGGGAAGCAGGGGCAAGTGTAAGGGGAATACATGTATTCTTATAGCCGTGTTTGACACTGTTAAGCGATTTTAACATAGTAGCGGCAAATCAAGTAT